ACAAGATGATGGTAAGTAATATTGGGAATACCCATGCCCATACATCCATAACAATGTTGACCTTTAAGTCCAATATATTCCATTGCATATGGATCTTTTAATAACACTTTCATAAACCCACACCAAAATGATCCATATCCTTTGCTTACAAGTGCAAGCTCTAATTCTGCAAGCATGATTGTTGCATCATCATTAGCAAATTCTTTGTGTTGATCATCAGCATATGCAATGATCATGTGAGGTGCATCTCTTCCAATAATATCAACTTTAGCTTGATATGCACAAACTGGTCTAAAAATTGCAGGAGTTGTTTCAAGGTTAGCAGCACGACTAGCAAGATGAGTAAGAACCTCAGTTAATTTTGGTCTATTGATAACCATAAATTTGATTGGTCGATAATTACAAGCAGATGGTGCAAATTTAATAAGGTTAATCATTTCTTTTAATTCTTCGTTTGGAATTGCTCCTTTCCATTTTCTTACAGAACGTCTTGTTTTAATTGCTCCAATAACTGAAGTATGTTCATCTGGTAATGGTTCACATTTTTGTTCAAAAAGTGAAATTGCACCAGCTTTACAAATAGACTGGCAATGTCCACAACTCATACAATTTGGAGATTGTTTCTCATCAACAAGTGCTTTACCACCTTCAACCTTTAATACCCTACAAGGACATTCTTTTGTGCACATTCCACATCCAATACATACATCAGTGTTAATAGTGAGATTAGCCATTACTATATAAAACTCAGTATTTTTTCTTAAAAATTCTTTTCTTGATAACGTTTTATATTATTATATTATACTATTATTATATTATTATTCTCTAATTTTTATTTTTCATAACAAATTACATTTGTTATATTATTTAATTTCTGATGATGAAAATAACTAAAACATAATACTTGAGTTGTGACTTACAGATTTTTTAATCTTATACTTTTTTAATTCCTCTCTTTTTTCTATTTTATCTAAACCTAAAGTAAATTACCAAATACTAACTTCACATTTCATAGAAAAGAAACACAAAGTGATAGAGTAAATAGTTCATTTCTATCAATTACACATATTAGTTATCAATAAGCATATGATAACATCGAATACTCATGATGTCTGTCATTAAAAATTTCAATGCTATTCCAAATCTTTCTAATTTTTCATCTGGATAAATACTCACTTTCTGAATTTCTTCTTCTTCAATGGAAAATGGTAATTTAAATTTGTTTTTTGTTTCTATTGAAAGATGTTTTCCCATGTCATTTACTAAAGTTAGTATATTTTTTAATCCTTTCTCTAGTTTTCTTTTTTCTTCTTTCTGAGTTGTAAAATCACTACATCGAATAATTTCATGTTTGTTAATTAATGTTATTGCTTCTGCTGTTCGTTCAATCGCAAATTGATTAGAATGATAATCGATCATTTCTGCTATTTTATTGATTTCTAACAATATATATGAAAATCCAATTTTGATGTTTTTGTTATCTTTCTATTTTATGAATTTTCTCTTCATTTTTATTTCTTGAAAATGATTACAAACTCTTCTGAATGATTCTATTACATTAATCCCATTGATTATAGGTCCATTTTTATCATACTCAGTGTTGAAAACATTTCTCCAACAATCAACTTCTTCAACACAATATGGTTTATTTTGTTCAAACACTTCTTTAATGTCTTGTGTTTCTTTGTTCATTTCATTCATCACCATGAAATGTTTTCTTATAACTTCTTTTTCTATTTCTTTCATTTGTGTAATTCCTCTCTTCTTTTCTTCTAATGTCTTTTGTTCTTCTGTTAATTCATTGACTTCTTTTTCAAGTTTTTTAACAACTTCTTCCTCTTTCTTTATTTTTTGTTCAATTTCTTCCTCATTTTTTTCAAGTACCTCAATCAATTTCTGTGAGTATTGACTACTTTCATTCAAACACCGATAATATTGTTCATTGTCAATTAATTCTTTCATTAAACACTCACAACAAATTGGGTATTTCCCATTAATAGGGTGATTACAAACCCCACATTCAATCAACACTTGGTGATTCTCGGTTTCGCTCATTTTTCAAATTGAAGAACTGGAAATTTATCATCTCAATATCATATAAATAGAAAAGATAAAAATAGAAGAAGCTTAATTCATCTCAACAACATACAGACAAGTTGTATGTGGGTAATACAAGTTGATCTAACAATTAATTTCATAAGAAAAAAAAACAAGAAATGAAAAACAAACTGAAAGGAGATTTTCTTGAATGAGTTGATAAATGATTGAAAAAAGAATTTTAATTGATAAACGATTTTCAAGAATTGATGATTTAAAGAATGTAATGGTTTGTTTGAATGATGGATAATGAATGATGTTATATTGAGTAAGAAGATCATTTAATACTATTCTACAAAATGGAGTCATTCTTTCATCTATCAATTCTTTCCAATAATCAAGCTATTTGATAAGACTGTTTTCAATAATTAAATAAAAACAAACAATTTTAAGATAAGTGAATACTTTGAATACAGAGTCAGGAAGTAATGAAGAAGAAAGAAAAGAAGGAAATAAGTCAGGAAAATTACGTGATAAAGAAATAAAATGAAAATAAAGAAGTTCATTTCCAAGAAGAGATTCAGACATTAATACTCTTTCTATCACTTTATTTACTGGGAGATTTAATAAGTCTTCATTTTGTTTAACACCAATTAATAAAAAGAGTTGAGCAACAAATTCTCTCTGAACAGGAAAAGGAAGGGAATGAAGAGATTGAATAAAAACATAATTCCTTTCTTTAATAAGGTCAATATAATCATGAGAAAGATAAACATCAGACAAGAATGATTGAGTTGGTTGTAATTCCATTAACAATTAGATGACATGTTCTTCATTATTTATTTCACTTTCTTTTCATTTCAAACAAATCTCAGCATGAAAATTAAAAAAGAAAAGACAAAGTTAGAAAAGAAGATTAGGAGAAAAGATAAGAAAAAGAGAAAAGAGAGATAAAAATCAGAATAGCAGATTAAATTACTAACAAGATTTGATTCACATAAAACACATAGCTTAATAACATATTTATTATAAGAAATTATTTGAACGATATATCAGATTAATTAATGGATATTTAGCAGATCTCCGAAAACACAGAAGATATAATGCTGATGATAATCTTGTTGATTCAGCATTATCTAAGTTAAAAGCATCACAACCAAATGTATTCAATTATTTCTTGAGTGTTTCTAAACAACAAATTGGCAAAATAAGAATTAGTTTTATTCCAGGAACAAAAACAGTTTCAAGTCAATTTGTTAGATTAGGAGAGGATGGGTTTAAATGGAATGGAAAGACATTTAATACTACCGATAAGTTAGTTGAAGAATTTAAAACAGAAGTAACTAAAATTCTACAGAAAAAACAATAAGTCTAAATCAATTATTTTAATTTTTAAATATTTTTCTTAAGAAGCATCTAAAGAAAGAAAATAATAAACAAGAAATGATTGAGAGAATAATTTAATAATTTTAGAAATAAAAATGAAAGAAATAAAATTAAAAAAATCATTCAATAGTATTTTATTCAACAAAAGATGGATAATATTATTAATGTATTTCATTCATGATATGACATTTATCTTCAACTGATTCAATAAGATTTATGGAATAGAAATTAAATAATAGAATATAATATTGGTTCAATAAAATTGATTAACATAATGAAATATCATTAGAGATAGAAAGATACTATAACTTCAATAAGTACTAATAAAGATAAATTCAATAATTTATAGTAATTTACTACATCAATATGTTTTATTGGAAAAAGAATGAAATAAAGAAAATAAAGAAAGGAAGAAGAATATCAAGAAATAATAATATTTTTGTCAATGAGATAAGAAAAACTAATAAAACTAAAATATTATTTGAAATAAAATTATTAAATTAATTAAAAAATATTTATTAATCGTATTTAAATTATTTCATTCTAATTTAATAAAAATTATTATTTTATTATTTATAATAATATTAAATATTATCCTTTTTAACTAAAATTTTATTTGTTCTATTTTTATATTTTGAATATTTATCATTAGAATGATATTAAATAATAATGAATAAATAAACCATCAATAATTTATTTCTTTTGACTTGTAATAAAATAAATATAAAAGATTAATAAGAGCAATAAGAGAAAGTTGAATTTACCTCATTTCAAATAATAAATTTATATTGTAATAGTGTATTTACTATTTATACTGACTGTATTAACACTAAATATCTTTTCTTTATCAAATGAAATATTATTATAAATGATATTGAGAAACAGAATGAACTATTTTAACAGATATAAATTTACAATAAATATTATAATTAGTAATAATAAAGATAGCAATATGTATTATCAAATTAAATCTTTTCATTGATACTACTTTAAACCATTTGCATTGAAAGAATATGGTAAAGTCAAATCATATATGATTAACAAGAACGAATTATAACGTCGCTGTTTTATTTAAATAGAAATATTAATTATTATTACTGATAATGAATAAAATAAATATTTAGAATGATAAAAGAATAGTGAAAAAGAATAGCGTTCTGAATAATGGTAAAAGACATAATTATTATGAAATATTTAATAAAATATTGCAATTAATTGATGTGAATATAAAATGGAAATATAAATTAAACAACACAATCAATAGAATGAATGAAATAACATCAAATAAATAAAATGATGTAGAAAAATCAATATTATTTTTTATTTAATTTATGAATTTTATTTCAAATAATAGTTGTATTTCATTGTTGTTTTAAATAGAGTATGTTTAATAAATAATTAAATTTCAAAGAGTTAGTTAATTTAAATAATTTATCAGAAATAATATTTCTAATGAAAGAAATGTTTTGATTATTTTATTCTTTTTAAAAGTAGTGTTTGTTATTGCATAATTATTATCTATGAAACATCTAATTAAAATATTAGAGTTGAATGAAAATCATTAATTTAATTCATTTATATTTTATTATTCAACTGTTTTATTTGATGAAACATTTCATTAAACAATAAAATAAAAGAATACTGATTATAATGAAAATGTAATATAAACAAAACCAGAAATGATAGTGTTGATGACTAAAATCAAATTTCATTAATTATTCACATGCATTGAATTATTACATTTATTTTTGTATTAATAATCTATTTTATTCATATTAATTATTAAAAGTCTTGTTAAAACATTTATGTAGTATTATGAATAATAAACAGTTAGATGAATGAAAAATACTTATATTCTTTGTGTAATAATAAGAAATTTGATGATGTAAAATAACAAAATACATTAATACAACATCAAGACAGTACAAAAGATTATTATAAATCCAATAATATCATAGTTATGACAATGTAATGAAAAATTGATGTGATAATAATGATATTAAAGTAAAAGATTTTGAATGAGAAATTAATTAAAGAAATAAAAATAACAAATTATTACCAAAGGAGATAAACTTACATAAAAAACATTATTTAACGATTATTATACAATAAATAGTGTGTAATTACTTATAAATACTTGTTATTCAAATTATATTTGATGGGGATTAATCAATTAGCTTAATCATATGAATGTCATTAAAAGTATATTTTATTCATTTCATTATTTAATATTCTGACAAGTCAAATGAAACATTGTTCATTTACTATAATTCATTTACAAACAAACAAATATTAATGGAATTATAACAAC